TTGATTGTCCTGCTTTTCAAAGACTTTTGAACTAGATTTTCTTCATTTATATTTCTTTCCTTGCTTTACTCACACATTCAACTTATTGTAGCTACAGAGAAGGAAACAGCAATTTACTATAAATTTTCTCTCATTCGTTTTTTGTTTACTTTAAATCATTATGACGTTAGTAGTTTGGATTGTTGAATATGACGAGTGGAAATGTAAATGAATGCTGATGTTGGATATTTCTCTTTAAGAATGATGTTTAATGGAATCTGCTTGGAAGATTTATAGAGTGGAAATTTAATGAGATTGGTATAAATTTGAATGATTTGTGTAGGGTTGGAAAATTAACTTTTTAACTATAGGAATTTTATGGTATATATATATGAGATGATGAGTCCGAGATTAGTGTCATACATAATATTGGAATCTATTGAATTGAAGATTGTAAGATTCTTGGAATCTTTTTTTTTGTCAACAGTTGACTTAACTCTATTTTGTAGAATTCATAGCATTTTTAACTCAAATTAAATTCAAAATATAAAGCCAAGGCAATTTGCAAATACATAAACCACAAATTGAATCAATCAAATTCGGAAAAAAAAATCCAAATTTATGCTTCAATAGATTTACATAATGGCAATTTAATCTTCATCAAACGAAAATTCTTAAAAATCATTAAATATAAATGCTGAGTGACCTTAAACAAATGCATGAAGATTATAAGCTTATAAGACAATTTCAGTATGAACTTAAATATATGAATATGGAATTTAATAAAAGAATATCTCAGATTAAGGATATGGCTGTAAAATGAGGAACAATCAGGAGGACAACGAAGAATGAGGAAAAAGCAAAGAGATTACATCAGCAATTTTGTGAACTTGAATTTTTTTTTGTGTTCAGATTAATATCAAATATATTTCCTTTTATGCTAAAACTTTCATATTGGATGTCTTCTTATCTTAAAAGCTGCTTTTCTCTTTACGTGGGCAGAACTTTAAGAGGAAATTGATGTTATCGATTCTTTGTCATAAAAATATTTCACTTTTCTTTGGATATTTTCGGAAGTCTTTGACTTTATGCTTACAAAATTATCTAGATGAAGGTGGTTGTCATGCCTACAAACAGTATTTACAGAAATTGTGAGCATTTTGTGGATTAAGCAGAACATATCTAATTAAAATGCTTTCCATCAAAATCTGAAAGTGAAAATCTATCTTTGTGAAGTCAATCCAACAGGACTAAATTATTCCATAAATGCCCTATTTTTGCATACATTTCTTATTGCATTTAGCATATGCTTTCCTTCTACTGTTTTAACAATTTTCTTCAGTAAAGCCCCACAAATACATAATAGCTAAAAGGAAGCACAAAAGCTGCATAACAATTACAAACACACGACCATGCTGATGTCGATGATGAAGGTAAATACTGGCAATTTGATGTTAAAAATATGTTTACAAATAGCTGCATAAAAATTTCTGTCGTATCCTTTTGATACTATTGTTGTTTCCATCGTCAGCCTTAATTTCAATCCTAACGAGTTTATTGCCAAACTGTAAACACTGAGATGTCTATCTGAAAATCTGCAAACTCTATCGTTCTCCTCTACCAAAGATATCACAATCTAATGGTCTTGTTGTTGCAAGCTTACCACATTTTGTTGTTGCCTGTTTTTTGGTTGACTATATTAAATTTCGAAACGAGCAATATTCATTTTATTACAAGTAATGTGATTTGAGTTCTTGTGAAGATTTTGTAAGTCTCAAGAGAGGGGTTGACTGGCCAGCTGATTGCTTAAATCAATTACCCCCGATTTTTTGTCTTTTTTGTTTCTAAAAGCAAGTTTGTGCATTAAATGATTTTTGTGGATTTACAACATAATCAGCACCCAAAAAAAGTTATTAATTGAATCTTGATGAAACTGTTCTTAAAGCACAATAGAAGTTTTTAGGTTTTTAACACAATCATGCTGTTTTATGTTCATTGACTATATTCCCCATAGATACACGTATGTAGTTGGATATCCTCAAAGTATCATTTACTCGTTTTTACAATCAACAGCAACCCAATTTTATTCGACACCTATTCATTCCATGGATATAGAAGGGAAAACCAATAAAAAGTGGGAATCGCTTTGAGATTTGAGATGAGAATGTAATTTCTTTAAAATTAATTTATAAGAGATTATCGGTCTGAGAAATGAAACATCGATGATTATAGTGAGTTTAAGGATTGTTGTTCTTTTGAGAAATTTAAGTGCTTTTTATTGATTTTTTTGCCGAAGGAAGTTTTAAAAAAATTGGAGCTTTGATTCGCAGTGGAAAATTTTTGAGGATGTACTGTATTGACTAAGGACAAACCGTTACATCCTTTAAATTGAGTTTTAATGGAAAATGTAACATTAATTTAATACTTAATAGAATCCAGTTTAACTTTACGTCAGCAATTGTATCGTTTAGGAAATGTTTACAGCAAGTACCAGAAAATTTATTCAAAGTAATTGAACAAATGGATTCAATTCAATTTTGTGATTTAAACAATTTATGTTTACAAATTTAATTTGCATAATTCAATGACTAGCTTTCTCAAAAATTACAATAAAGACTTTCTGTATTTTATACAATTTATATCCAAGAATAGCATCATATTGAAGAGAAACTCCCACCATGCGTCCCTATTTTACTTAATCATAGAAAAGTTTACAGTCAATAATGATATTGTGTTGACACTTAAAGGCATTCAGTGGAGAGCACAAACAAGTAATAAGTACGTGTTATACAAAAGTGTCACAATGAACAAATTATTCGTTTATGGAAATATTTTGTTCTAATTTAGCTCATTTGTGTAGTTTGTCTGTTTATATGACAGAAAATCGGAGTCATATTAATACAGAACTTTCTGTTTCATTACTGATGACGATAATGATCTTGTTGATGTATCCTACTGGGAAAACTAAATTACATTTTGAATGTTAACAGCAAAATAACCCTTTTGAAAATTTCATTAGATTTGAAACCCAGATTCGAATTAGAATTTGTATATTTATCATTTTCATGTCAGCACTCTGACTTAATTTCCCCTAAAGAAACAAAACTTTTATTTCTAACATTTTCATTTCCATTAAAATTATTCCTTGTTCCATTTCCTTTTTGACATCAAAACCAATTTCCGATTTTTATTTTGCTACCCAATTAATTCAGACTTGAAGCTCTTTTGCATGCTATGAAAGCTTCATCAACAAATTTGTGTCGTGATTAGATTTGAAGACAGAAATGGCAAATACGGATCTAACCAGTTATGTGTATATAAGCCGTAATCAATCGATATCAATCGGAGTCAAATCGTGAATTGATTTTTTTCGTTGCTTTTCAAGAGTTTTTCTATTTAGTTCCCTGTAGAGATATCTACAATTGGTAATCAGAGATTTATGACATGAGAACAGGGGCGTAGCCAGGAATTTGAAGAGGGGGGGGTGGGGTCAAAAAAAATTTTATATGGAAAATTCAGAGGGAGGGGGGGGGGGGGGGGGGGGGAGGGGGATTTTTATGGTTTTTTCATAAAACTCCTAGCAAAATGAAGAAATTTCTGTTAACGTCGGAGGATTTGTCCCCCAAATTACCCCCCCCCCCCCCCCCCCCCACACTTGGTTACGCGCCTGCATGAAAAGGTAATTTACTTTTTTGGATAAATAAATTCTTGGTAATGTAATTGGCACAAGGGTAATAAATTTTGGATTAAAATATAGTTCATTATGGGGTTGTTCATAAATTATGGACATGAAATTAAAAATTATTGTTTCTGCGGTTACAAACCACGCTAAAATTTTTCGTTCATATAATTTCAAGCAATGTCTCTTACTCTATGAAATCTCTCAAAAGGATGTTCTAAGTTCACATTTTTCCTTTCTTAAGAACTTCTTTTCTGAATCAACGTTATTTTTTCCCAGAATTAACTTTATTCTTTTCGCAATGACTGTTTTTGTTTTTCTTAAAAATTATATCTTACCAAGTTGGTGTTTACTTAATTTCCTGTTTTATCTTAATTTCTAAATTTTTGCTTGGGTCAGCTCTTTATCAGATGAAGATGATCATTTACTCAAAATAAAAAGAAAATTAACCGATAAATGCTTAAACTGTATTCAAAGTTTAATACTAAAAAAATCAAGAATGTCTCGAAAATTTTCTTTTGATGTCAAGGAACTTGTCTCTTGTCAATTCCATCAATAAATTTTCTATTCAATAAATTTTCTTGGTAGTTGATGAAATCCCATAGACATGCATTCATGTCTACATCATGAAATCTAAGTTCCATTCAACTTTATTCATGCTAATGACACGATCAATGCCTTCAACAGAAGCATTATGCTTTCAATACACAATTAAGCTTCATTCAAAAATAGACACTAAAGAAATCCCTCTTGATAATCCCCATGAAAGTGATACCAACAAACATTTGTACTGAATAAATAACTGAAACAATGAACGGAATTTTTACGTCATAGATGCCATTCAATACAATTGTGTCTGATATTTACCTTATCTTTTTACGATGATGACATTTTTGTGTATAAAAAATCATTATTACGTCAATACATGTTGTTTTCGTTGTTATCGCTTGAGATTTATAGAGCAAAATAGCGATTGAATTGATAAAGTAGGGGAAATCCACAAATGACGTCTTTCAATAATTTTTATGCTTTTTATTTAGGGGCACTTATGACGTCCGGAAGGGGGGGGGGGGGGGGGATCAGCAAGAAAAGAACAATAGAAATTCCTGGAAATCAATTGTTCTTTTTTGAAAAATGACCGTTAATTTCGGACGTCATAAGTGAACGACCCTTATGTGATTCAAAAAAAAATCTTTAAAATTTCACAAAGTTCGTTGACTTTATTAAAGGAATGGTACATCACAAGTGTACAACGCCAAGGGTTTGTTTTGGATTGATTGAATAAAGTCATTGGTGGATTGAGAATTGTTTTTTGAAAGGTTAATAGAAAATTACGTGTCAGATGGGATTCTTTGTTAGGTCGGTTACTTCAAATTACCGATTAAGGTTCTGTTTTAGGATTATTAAATTTTCTGTCAGAGTTCGAACTTGATTGCGAAGATTTTTGAGAATTAGCAATAAACTTGAATGTTTACATCTAAATGTCATCTTCTACCAGCAAAAAAAGCAATAAAGACTTTTCTATATTAGCTAAACTACTCTAATGTTGCCAGAACATTGACAATATGTAGTAATGGTGGTTCATAATGACTTCCTACCTTTTTCTTTCGATTACTTCCTACACACAATTTTTTACAATTCATTTCATTCTATAGATTACTAAGCAAGGGAATTCTCAGCTCAATTTTGGACGCTACAAAACTTTTTTACCCATACGGAATAAAAATCTTCAAGTCAAACAAAATAATGGTGGAAATGAACCGTCATCTTATTTAACAATAATAAAAATGTCAATTTCATGACAAGTTTATGAATTTCTGAAAAAAAAAACTCTATTTGTGAATCGTGTGAATGGCAGAGAAATGTGAATGAATTTTGTGGAAATGTTGTAATAATTTAGTACAGCAATTCTGACCTACATAATGCGAAATTGATGTAAATATGAAAATCGATACAATAAATTGATTTTTTGAAAGTTGAATTTTTTGAGCTGTCTTAAAAAAACATTAAATATTTATGAAATAAAATGTTTTAAGCATAAATTGATACCTATCCAGTTGCGATGTTATTCATATATTAATGGTAAATCGTAAAGCTACCTTACAAGATTTAAAATAATTTATGGGTTTTAAATTTTTATTCTCATCGCATAAATCGTTTTCAGGGAAGAAAAGGATTCGGACTAAACCTTTGAATACAATTTTGCAATAAATTGCTGATTGTATTTTCTAAATGCTCCAGAATAAAGAAATTTCAAGACTCCAGAAGTTCAGTCAAAGTTTTATATGACTAATTGGAAGCTGTACCTTGAAAAGCGACTCCGTATGATGGTTGTTTAAATTAAACCTTCATCATAGCATTGATCTTATTAAATTCGACTTATTTATTGATTGAAAATTCCCCTTCTTAATTATAGACTGCCTTTCTGAACTCAATTTCTTCAGTACATTCTTAAATTAACTTGACTTATCATCACTTATAGCACATCCTATCACATTTCAACATGAAAACCTCGCGTAGATATTATAGGTATACAGAACGAAATCGATAAAGCCACTAGACATCATCATCATCACATGCTCTATAAACATTTTCAATGTCATAAGCATCGAGCGGCATCATTATAAATAATATTTATACAACATCATAGATATGTGTGAACTCTGTCCAAAACGAAGAAATAGTCATAGATACTGAAAAAGAGTCGAAATTGTTTGCCATAAAAATATTATTTAATATATTACGCGAATCTGTAAAGCATTTCTAAGAGTTTATTCGTTGATTTTACGATGTCGTAGATTTTCTTATATTCTTTATCTCTTCTACTTTTGTTTTCTTTATTCATATTTTCTGCTCAAAATATTTTCCTTTTCTCTTTCGTTCCTTACTCGATTAATGCTTTCGTTTTGTTTCGCAGCGAATTTTCTTTTTCATCAAAGAATTTCGGGTTTGAATGACATATTCGTTTTGTCTAGATTGTCATGACAATTTGGCATGATTTGTGTGACAAAATCCAAAGTTTTTAACAAAATATTTTAAATGAGTTGCTCCCCAGTGAAATAAAATTTTTATTTTAATAATTTCTTGTTAAACGGTTGAGATAATTTGCAAGGTTTAGTGTCGTACGCAAATAATGTCTATTAATTGATCAATCAGTTTCTATCAAGTGTTTCTGTGAGTTTAATTTGATCGAATTACTTCTAAATATCTGAGAGGGTTACTTAAACTTAATCATTCATTGTTCAAGCATTCTTAAACCTCAATTAGCTTTATTCGATCCTCAAAATTAAGATTTGTTAATATTATTCACAATTTATGTCTAATAATTCACACAGAAACAAAACCACTATCCATCTCTAGCATACTTGACCTTAAATCCTATAAAAAACATTCTTAAAGCCATCGTCACACCCAAAAGTATACCTCAACTAACAAACATATCAACTAAAGCTCCCCTTTCACAATAGTTCTTCTTTATATTAAATTGTTCTGTTGTGCGGAACGGAAGAAAGCATTTGAAGGTCGATAACAGCTTTAGCTTTGTGTAAATTAAAATAAAACCATGGAAAGACATATTATCAGCAACATCAGCTCTTTTTATCGATTGATTTATGATTTTACAGTTTAGCATACATGAAGCCAGACACTGAAACCTATTAAGATCGTCAGACAAATAACTAATGTTCTTGACCGTTTGTAATGATTTAAGGAAATAAAATGCATGCTCAATTTTTTTCTATTTTTCTTCTCTCTGAAACTTATTTCCAGAGCGTAAAAATTGAGAGGATTTTTTTTTCTTCTCACTCTCAAATAAATTTTCAATTTCCACTCTCATTCTCAATTTGATTTTTCTTCTCCTTGAAGATCACGAATTAAAATAAGAAGCACGTCCGACTCGACTCTCGTGAGCAAATAATATTTTTAATGGCATTTTCAAAGCTTTCCTGAGCCGCACAGCAATTAATTTCAAATCTTAGCAGATGAAACATTATATCATCATCGTCATTTTTACGCAAACATCATTAAATTGTGTAAGGAAATGAGAAACGTAGAACAAAACGAATTTTCATAATGAAGTCGTTAAATATTAAGGGTATGAATTACTCAGAGAGTTATAGCGTCAAATTTGCAGAATATAAAAAGAAGATATACGAATTTAAATGTTGTTCACAATAAAATGCATTTGTATTACAATTCATTGTTCATGCTACATGTGATGATTCATTTTTGACACATCTTTTGTCGTGGTTGGTACGAGCGTTTAGAAGGGGTCTAGGATTTTGTGACACAACAACTCAAATAAAGGAAAAATTCCTATAACAAGACAATGTCACAAGGGGGGGGGGGGGGTTAGTTTCTGGATTTGAATTTGATCAGAGATTCTGACTTTTTAAAACACACAGACTTATTGATCTCAACTTGAGTGCCAATAAAGTCAAGTTGATGCCGGAGCACCCCGATTTCCTTATATCCACATCGTACCAACTTCATTTATTTTGAAAATTGGGACAGTAAAGTTGGTTAATTTTTAAATGTGCAACGTACTTTAGATACTTCAATTCTTACTTTCAAAAAACAGTCGTCGTTTAAGGACGTCCTCTTTAATATTTTTAAGGTATTATTTAAATGAAAAATGAGCACTTTTGTCAACGAATATTAAATTAAATTCAGTTTCTTCTTTAAATGTGCAATTAAATTCATAACAAAAGAACTGAGCAAATCCTTTTAGTCTTAAAATTGCCAAATAATTTTCATTTATTCTCCACAAAAGCTTGACAAAAGCCTCTTATTTGCCTAAATTCCAAACCATTTCACAAACGCATTTAACTCTTGCAACAAAACGATTATAACATTTACCGTCAGACATTTATTTGAAGTTGCGCGGCATGAAAATACCTTGGCAACGATCCATAACTCGATAATCATCTAAATAAACAATTAAGTGTATGTTTATTTGTGAATTGCGGTGAATTTCCTCATAAAAATTTTCTCTCAATTTGTTTTTCATTTTTTTTATTTTTTTCTTTTTCGGCTCTCTCAATAAATTCGTGTTTTATTGTTTGATTATTTGCAGGGAAGAATTACGATGCAATTAAAAATTGAGTGGAAATTTTTCTCGCCTTTTTTTCGGATGTTATGTCGATCGACACAATCTGAAGATTTGTTTGATTTTCTCACACTAGTGAAATTTTTTAGGTCAATAATCGAATTATTTTTTTATAGATTTTATTTTTGAAAAAATGAATGGGAAAATTTTTGGTTTTCACAATCGTCGGGAATCTTGCGATTTTTTTATTCTTTGAACAAATGGATTTGATGCATTTATGCACTTTTGATGAGTATAATCTTTGCTATAAAATGACAAATAGGATACTAGCTGTGAAGGCAGATTGTGACTTAATTTGAATCTGTCAAACTTAATAAACAACCGATTACTGCTTTCATTGAATTTGATACTATTCTAAAATGAAAATCTTATATTTTTAAAATGTAATTCAGAAAGACATTCCTACTTTCTTTTACCATTCCTGTGTTAACATTTCCATCATTGTATTTCTGTTTCTATTTAAATCTATATCCTCTTTAATCCATTGCTTTATTTTTTTCTGTTGATTCAATAAATATCCTTATATCCGAGGCATAATAAATATTTTCCTTTCGAATGCCACTTGAGATTTCTGAAAAATAGGAATACACTTAAGTTCCAGAAGTATTTTTCTGAATCTTTATTCAATACATGCTATTCTTGAATCGTATAAGTTGTATTCCATTTCCCACTAATCTTATTCCAACAGCATTATCTCTCGTCTGTTGCTCTCGTCAGGTAAATGCCAGAAGATATTTATTTATGTACTTCCAAGAATCCTTTTCGAAAGTGTTTCTTGAAATTGAATGAAGCTCTTGATGATTAAAATAAATATTGAATTAGTTATCAAGTTTTGAATTTATGGATGAAATTTCATTATTTGAATATTCTGAAATCAAATGAAAAGGATTTGACTTTGATTGACATGGCACTTCTTGGAAGAGAAGTGACATTTGAATGTCTAAATATGTCAATTTAATTTAAAACTCTATGTGAGGTTTAATAGGTTTAGATGTTGAATTAAAATTCTTTTCTTTTCGGGATGAAACTAGATCCTTTCCTTAGTGACTGAATTTCAACAATTCTTAAGATACTAAGCTGTTTTTGTGGCAAATAAGATACTTTATAATTAGATTCAATCATCTTTTATTACAGAGGATATGACACATTCTTAATCCCTCTTTAAATCTTCAATTACAAAAACCCTCTTAAATTTGAAATTTCACAATACCCTCTGTCTCATTAACACCCAAACATAAGAAAACAGTGAGAAAAAAAAATGAAAAAGATTCATTAAAATAAGCAAAAGTTTTTTTAAAGCTCATGGCGAAAAGAAAAGAATTTGAAGATCAGATTTTATTACCCGAAACATTGCTCGACGTAATTTTACAGAACAACAACAAGAAAAATTTCAGATAGACCGCAATTCCCACAACGATATTCATTGAGAGGCAGTGATTCGTTGAAGGATAATAAACAAGTTTACTTGAAGACTCTGAAAGAAATTTTTTGAATAGGACTACCTTACTTACTTACTTACTGTAACCTTGTTCCTATGTGGAGCTAAGGTTACAAATAAAACGCTTTCCATCTGACTCTGTTGCTGGTTCTGTCACCTAGTTTGTACAATTTGTGCAATTTTGCGGATTCCAACCAAGAGCAGTGTAACAAACTTGTATTATGTCCCAGC